CGGCGAGGGTCCCTGTGCCCGCTGCTGCTCTGGGGGCTGATATAACCCCCCACCCTCTCCTCTGCCCCTTCTTCTTCTACTTTTGCACAAGCACCGTTCAAGGTGATTTTCTCCGCACCCGCTGTGCGCACAGGGACGGGTAAGGGGTTTGGGGCACTTTGGGCTGGGGACTGAGTCCCAGCACTGCCGGTGTCCCCTGTGCCGCTTTATCTTCCTGCCCGCTGCTGCTCTGGGGGCTGATATAACCCCCCACCCTCTCCTCTGCCCCTTCTTCTTCTACTTTTGCACAAGCACCGTTCAAGGTGATTTTCTCCGCACCCGCTGTGCGCACAGGGACGGGTAAGGGGTTTGGGGCACTTTGGGCTGGGGACTGAGTCCCAGCACTGCCGGTGTCCCCTGTGCCGCTTTATCTTCCCTGGTTTCAAACAGGATTTGTGCATCTGAGCGCAGCCACCAGCACTGCTGGGGCTGGGTGAACGCGGGACGCATAGGCAGATAGGTCCCACTGGTGTGTTGCCAGCCGGGGCTGGTGCCACAGCTCCCTGGTCCTGGTAAGAGCAGTGAAGGCATCCTTGGCAGCCGCCAAGTTGGGTGCCTCCCAGCTCTGCTCCGGGCTCCATGCTGGGGTGGAGGCCCAGGAAAAGGGGAAAATCAAGTTTTTTTAATTCCAGCCTCTGACTTGCAGGAAAGCTCAACAGCGAGGGGACCAGCCGGTGGTTGCTCCCGCCGGTCCTGCCCTTGGGGCAGGAGCAGGCACGGGGCTGGCGATAGCTCAGGTCTGGCCCTGCCAGAGCATCCTGCCTCTCACACCTTCCCTCTCATCAGCTTTTTCTCCAGAAGGAGCTGAGCACGTAGGTTTGCCCTGGCCCTTGCTGTGCCCTGCTTCGGTCGTGCCCATGCTTGTGGGGCAGCAGCTCCATGAACACCCCTCTGCCCTGAAGCCAGCTCTGGCTGGGTACCAGCAGCCCCCTGGGCTTTGCTGGGGGGAAATCCACATCCTCATCTCCCACCTGTACCTCTCCATCCTTCTGCTCTTGGATTTGGACATCACCTTCCGCTTAGACTACAGGAAAAATGGACTAAACTCTTCTAACACTGCCCAAAGTTTGGGGGTTGTGATTCCCCCACGACAGGAGGGAGCAGGGCTGACAGCTCTGATTATCTCCCCGCGTGGGAGGAGGTCACCCAGCCCCAGACCCTTTGGGCCATCCTCACCTTCAGGTGTCCAGTGTGCATCTGGGCTCGCTCGCACATCTGGAGGAAGTGCTTCACGTTGGTCTCATCCAAAATGATGTAGACTCCCACTTTCCTCTTGAAGCCCGCGTCCAGGAGGTCCTTGAAGATATCTACGTCGGTGAACATGTCCATGACCACCGCGATGACCTGGAGAGAGGAGAAGGCAGATGAGGCTGGGTAGCTTGGTCGGGTGACAACCTCAAGATACAGCTGGTGCTTGTTTTGGGAGAGCCGAAACAGCGTGCCCCCTCTCTAGGAGGTCGGGATTCGGTGGGGGGGAGCCCGGGCTCCCCTTCCCTGGCTCCAGCCAGCCTGAGGATGGAAAGCAGAACCCCCCAGTCCCATTCCTTTGCTGTCACTATGGGAGCTTTGGTCCCTGGTGGTGGCCCGTAGCATAATATACTTGTGAAAAATTGGTTTCTGAGGGTGAATCTAATTTTCTCGCCTTTAACAAGCGCTGCAAATTTCAGAGCCTGGTTTCTGGCTGGGAAGTTTGGTGGCCCTTTGCTATTGGCACTGCCCGCAGCCCCGTCGTGGGGAGCACCAGAAGGGCAAAGCTGCGACGCAGCGACGTGTCTGTCTGTCCGAGGGCGCGTTGCGTGGTGTGGTTGCTGTCTCTGAGGTTATCGTGCATGCTTGTGCTGGGAGAAACAGTATAAAAATAGCTAAAAGTGACTCTAAGCTTAGTAGAAAGTACTCAGATACCCGTATGGCGCATTCAGGAGCTGAAATGACTTTTAACACCTTTTAAAAAACAGGTCTGGGTGCGAGCTGGCAAGGTTGCTTCAAAGCAGCCCGTGGTTTGCAGCTCCCAGAGCCTGCGACC